CACATCCCCATCTACACCACACAGGTACACACACATATACGCTCATACATGCATGCACAATACACCCCCACAAATACACATCCACACCACACACACTCACACACATATACCCCTGCAATACACATCCCCATCTACACCACACAGGTACACACACATACACGCGCATACATGTATGCACAATACACCCCCAAATACACATTCACACCACACACACTCACACACATACACCCCTACAATACACATCCCCATCTACACCACACATGTACACACACATACATGTGCAACATGTATGCACAAATACACATCCACACCACACACGTACACACACATACACGCACATACATATATGCACAATACACCCCCACAAATACACATCCACACCACATACACATCCACACCACACACACTCACACACATATGCATAAACACCATACACACATCAACACACATCCACATCCACCCACGCATACCCACCACACACACATCTCAGGGGCAAGAGGGGTACAAACCAGGAATTTGTCTGTCTTGGGGGTGGTTTGAGAGCCGTGAGGAGGAACAGGCAGATGTATTCCTGGGGGACCCAGTGGCTAATGTAAGAAAGTGCTTTCTAGGAATGAAAACTTCCAATAAGGGAGGGAAGAGCAGGTGTCACCGGCCAGGACACTGCCTAAACTGTCACACCTCTGTCCTGCTCATTAGCCTCGGCTGCTGCCATCGCTCCAAGCATGTGTGTATGGGTGTGTGTGCATGTGTCTGCGTGGAGGATGCGTGCATGTGACTGGGGGGTGGTGGCAGCAGCCCGGGGTCACCTCTGTCCTCTGCTGTCCAGTTCCAGCCTTATACAGCACTACCCGGCCACACCTTTCACACCCTTGGTGGCTTTGCTTCTCCTGAGTGGGGATGAGGGCTGAGTCCTCCCACCTCTTGGAGACTCACCAACCACTTGCATGGCAGTCCCAGGACTTGCTGCTCCTGCGGCACCTCTGGGCCCCACCAGGCCTGGGCATTTGCTTCTCAGAACAGCAGGAAACAGGATAGCCCCAGGGCCAGGGCGTCCTGTTCTCCCACCTCCTGCCTGAAGTTTGGTACTCACGGCACGATCCCCTCCCTGCCCAGTGGTGTCTGTCTTGGCCCAGTATTAATAGGAGCTGCTCAGGCCCACCAGCACCTGTCACTCAGCCCCTGTGTCGTACACCCCTCCCCCGTCCTGAGCACCACAGCCAGGTATTTTGGCGATGAATGTTAGCAGGTTTGCATGGGTTTAGAACAGGGATCAGCAAACTATGGCCCCTGGGCCAAATCTGGCCCACTGTCTGTTTTTGTAAATAAAGTTTTATTGAAACATACCCATGCCCATTTATTCACGTACATTCTGCAAAGTCATAAATAGTTACTATCTGGCCCTTTTACACAACAAGTTTGCTGACCACTGCTTTAGAAGGAACCTTGAACTTGATCTGCGCTAGCCCAGACTTCAAGCACTTGGGTCTTGGTCCAAAGATAGCATCTGTCTGCAGGGCCAGACATGGTGACCAGGAAGACGGAGGTCTTTGTTCAGTGAATGGAGCACAGTCTAGAAAACAGAAACAAACAGAAACAGTCACACCAGGCACTTCCTGGAACATTGTCTCCACTGAGTGTTAAGTAAGCCTGTGACACACGGGTGGCTCCCATATCACAGATGAGCACATAGAAGCTCGGGAGAGCTAAGGGTGCATCTTAGTGGCCCAAGCCACTGTTGCGGTGTGTGAACTTGGGAGCCCCAGGAAGAGGACTGGAGGGTGCCCCCCAGGATGCAGCCCCAGCGCAGGGGCAAGGGGAGCACTTGGGGGACCTGCAGGAGGGGGATCTGTGCAGCCATATTTTAAAATAGACAGGAGGAGGGCAGCTGGGTAGCCTTGGTGTCCTTGTACAAGGAGGTGGCAAGGTGTGGACAACAGGAAGCTGAGGAGAAGGAAGTGTCATCATTTACCATAGCCCGGACACAGGGTGGGTGACAAATGAGTCAGAGTGGCCCTGGGGTCACCACAGTGATTGGCCACCCAGGAGGTAACTCAGATGGCAGGAGGGCCCAGAAGTGGCCAGGTGGGTGGCCCACATCCCCTGCTAGGCCCTGGGGTGCCCTTGTGAGAGAGTCCCCCCACGATGCTGCAGGCACCTTTACCTGCCCACCCTGCCCTGTCCCTGGTCTGTCCCCGGCCTCCTTCCTCCCAGGCCCGCCCTCCCACACCGAGCGTTGGCACCCATGACACATGGCCACGTGGGCCAGGCCAGGAGGGGCCTCCTCTCTGACACTTCCCTACACGGGGGGCCAGGAAGGGAAGACGCACCACACAGGTTGGTGTTGGTGCCTTTGCCGGGCCATCGTGAGCTGACAGACAGCGGACACTCCACGTTTAGGTGATGCCATCTCTTCTGGTGGCTCTTTCTGAGTCTGGGCCAACCTCACTGCTGTGCGGCTCCTTCCGACATCCGTCTTACGCCGGCTCCACAGCGCTGTCTTCAGTGGAGCCCATATGCGGGGCACTGTCCAGCGCAGGGGTTGGTAGACTATGGCTGGTCTGTTCTTATAAATAAAGCTTTATTGGGACATGGCCATGTTCACATATTTATGTACCTCTGTGGCTGTTTTTGTGCTACAATGACAGAGCTGAAGAGTTGCACGGAGACCGTCTGGCCCTCAAAGCCCGAGATATTTACTGTCTAGCCCTTTACAGAAAAAGTATCTCCAGTATCTCCTCTCCCCTCCCCCAGCCTCCTCCTCTCCCCCACTGTTCCCCTGCATGGAAAGAGGGTGGATCTTCCATGACAGGTGACATCCTGAGAGAAATGTCCTTACTGCGGTGACGATAGAGCTGGCAGAGGGGCTACGGGAAGCGGGAGGCGGTAAAATGAACTCTCTTAGAAAGTTAATTCCCTGCTCCCCTCCCAGAGAGCTGACCCCTGACCCCACAAGGTCCTGCAGAATTGAGGACGGGGAGAGGTCCCTGGGCACCAAGCCAGAGGGGAGGTTCAGGCAGGGGTGGGAGCAGATGCGTCTGTGCCCTGCTCCACGCACCCTGACTTTGGGAGCCACCCTGGACCAGCCTTTCTGCAGCTCAGAGAGATGCTCAAGTGGAAGTGGGAGCAGGGAGGGGGTTCAGAGAAGACTGAGGCCGTGCCACACCGGACCCCAGCTCTCTCCACTCTCCCATGGTCAGCCACAGGTGACCCCTCAGCAGGGGTATAGAGGGAGTCCTGGAGGTTTTGGTGGCTTCTGGGAGAGGAGATGGGACCAAAAACTTGAGATTGGGATTTTCCTAGGAGATCCAGGACATGAGGTGACAGTATCCACAGAACTTTCCAGAAACAGGGCAGTCTTCCCCCCCGACCCCGGCTGCAGAGGGACACCTCAGCTCTGTACTGGCTTTGCATACATTGGACACAAGGAGTCCTAGCCTGTCTCTGAAGAGAGGATGGTGCCTCCGAGATGAGGGAGCCCTGTCTCACGCCAGAAACGGGAGAGCTGGGATTTGTGTCTTTAACAACCTCCCCTCGGAACAGCGATGGAAGGGCAGTCTGCCTCCCTCTGTTTTGACCACAAAAATGCCCACTGTGTCATGGCTGATTCCAGATTCGGTGGCACCATGGCCTTCTGCCCTGTGAAACCCCAGTGAGATACTTGGTGGGCATCAGCTGCCCATCTCAGACTGCCACCAACACAGCTGAGAGTGACACCTGGCCGCCAAGCCTACCCCTCCATGCAGACCACTGAGTGGACAGACAGCCCCTTTCCTCTGTGACAACGTAGCCGCGAGGACAGGGGGAGTTTCATTCTGTGCCGAGGCTCCAGCCTGCCGGATCAGGCGTGGCGGGAGCTCTGCGCAGGCTGTGGGAAGTGTGGCGTGGCCAGCCTTGCCCTCCGGTTAACTTTCCCGCTTCGTCCTGCAGCCCGCTCACGGCCTCTGTTTTTCTTTCCATCCATTAGGCAACCCTGAACGCTCCACAACTCACGGAGGTCTCCTAGCAACCCTCCTTAGGAATTCTGTCTGGCCCTGGTTAGAAAACTGGAGACTCGGCCCGAGATTGATGAGTTTGCCTGGGGGGTCGGTGAGAAGCTGAAACCGAGGCGAACATGGGTCAGAAGGTCACCGGAGGGATCAAGACTGTGGACATGAGAGACCCCACGTACCGGCCCCTGAAGCAGGAGCTCCAGGGACTGGATTACTGCAAGCCCACGCGGCTGGACCTGCTGCTGGACATGCCCCCCGTGTCCTACGACGTGCAGCTGCTGCACTCGTGGAACAACAACGACCGCTCGCTCAACGTCTTCGTGAAGGAGGACGACAAGCTGATCTTCCACCGGCATCCCGTGGCCCAGAGCACAGACGCGATCAGGGGCAAAGTTGGGTACACGCGAGGGCTGCACGTGTGGCAGATCACGTGGGCCATGAGGCAGCGGGGCACACACGCTGTGGTGGGGGTGGCGACGGCGGACGCCCCCCTGCACTCTGTGGGGTACACGACCCTCGTGGGGAACAACCACGAGTCCTGGGGCTGGGACTTGGGGCGCAACCGGCTCTACCACGACGGCAAGAACCAGCCAAGCAAAACGTACCCGGCCTTTCTGGAGCCGGATGAGACGTTCATCGTCCCTGACTCCTTCCTGGTGGCCCTGGACATGGACGACGGGACCCTGAGCTTCATTGTGGATGGACAGTACATGGGAGTGGCTTTTCGGGGACTCAAGGGCAAAAAACTATATCCCGTAGTGAGTGCCGTCTGGGGCCACTGTGAGATCCGCATGCGCTACTTGAACGGACTCGATCGTAAGTGTCCCCTGGGCTGTCTGAGGTGGTGCCCTCCCCACGCTCCTGTGACCCGGGTGGGCCCAGGCCAGAAGTTTATATGGTCGTTGGAATTAAAGTATCTTTAAGTAGATATCCTAGTGTATTCAGACCCTCAGAGGCAAGTTTGTAACATCTGGTTACATGGGGAATTTTAGCCAGTCTGCTAGATTACCTGGCAGTGCCCCATGAGTGGATGGATGAGTGGATGGATGGCTAGATGGATGAATAAACAAATGGATGGATGAGTGGATGGATCTGTGGATGATGAATAAATGAATGAATGGATGGACGAGTGGATGAAAAGATGAATGGATGGATGGATGAGTGTCTCAGGTTAACCTGCCTCCAGGTGTGATCTGCAGTGCTAGCCAGGAGCCAGCCTGTTACTGAGCTGGGGTTTGCAGCCTTGGGGATAGCAGGGCCTCTCCGATAAATGAAAGCCAGTGACCTCTTGCTTGTCAGACAGGCTTAGGGTCTTTCTCTCCTGCTGTCAGAGGCTTCTGAGTGGGCTCCTGTGGGACACTGTCTGGAGAGGGGCTGTCCAGTCACGTTGCCAGGAGACTGGGAGGAGCACGTGGATTAGAAACAGGCTGAGTCAGCAGCTATTTCCGCCTGTCCCTTTGGAAAGGGGAGTGTCCTTTCTCAGGCCGTATGTGGTGGCACTGTGCTGGCATGGGAGGCTGGGAGCCTGGGGTAGCAGGAGGTCCTGGCGCAGCAGGACTGTTCACCCCATGCTTGGCCTCCCCCTCCCCCTCCCCCACCTCCTCTTCCTCTTCCTCCCCACTTCACCCTTCTAAAGATACTGAAGAAAACGTCCAGCGGGGTTGGGCATGAGTGAACGCTTAAGCATTTCTCTTCAGAAGCCTCCACACCCCTCCCTCTCCCTGCCCCCTGCTCTGGCTTTGACTGGGTAGTGACAGGGAGCTGCAGGGGGGAGTGGGGGGCGGAGAGGGTCTGGTGCAGGCTCCTAGGGCTGCTCTGTCCTCACCCGTGCAGCCTAGCACCCTGAGGCCGTGGGACTCCTGGCAGGGGTGGCCAGGGTGCATCCAGCAGGCAACCTCCCTGAGGAAGTGACTTCAGCCCTGGGCTAGGGAACCCGCAGAGCGAGTTCTGTGAGTCCATCTCCCAGGTGATAGCAGTGAGTGGCACTAAATCCACATCGAATTTGCCTCCAGCAGGAATGGGTGGGGATGAGGAGCCCTGGGCCCCTGCCCCCCAGGACCTAGGATCTTGGGCAGCCCTGGCCCTCAGCCCTGCCTCCCTCCTGGCAGAGGGTGGTCATGGTCCCAGGACGGTTACTGTCTGTTCTGTGCAGACAGACACAGGGATTGGTGAGCCTGCTGTTGTTGCTTGGCCACCAAGACTAGTGGCCACCACGAGAGTGACCAGCCCCGTCCCCTCTGGAAACAGGCCGGCTAACACTCCTGTGAGCTCCGTGAGTCTGCGTGGCTTTGCTGTTGGTGTGTTCCAGCTCCAGTACAGAACACAGACCCCAGAGTGGCCGGGAGACCACCCGGGCCTGCTCGCCCCTGGCACGTCAGGGCACAGCCCGAACAGAGGGTTCTGCCAGAACCGTCCTAGAGGCCCAGACATGTGTCTTGTGAGTAGGTGATGCCCGCTTAGCTCTGTGGCAGATGGGAAGCTGGATGCTTGCATAATTGTAATCGTTTGGAATTTTTTATAGGCATTGTGTGATGGGGGTCATGAGAACGGGGATAAGTTGTTAGGAACCGAATCTGCACTGGAGTCTGGCCCCTGGCTTCTTGGCCTCCCCGGCTGGTGGATGTGGTGGGCCCTGCTACACGCGGTCAGTTGACTTTGGAGGATCCCGATTGGAAAATAGAGAGACGTGGTCAGTTCTTTGGCCAGTTCTTGCCGAGCAGAACATGTGGGGGTGATGCACTGTCCGCAGCCCCGCTGCAGGGTGCCGTGTGTCAGAGCCGCCGGCCTCAGCCTGCTTAGACGGGCACCTCGGGGCCTTCACTGAGGGACGTCTTGAGTCCTAGAAGGACCACGCTGACTGCTCCACAGAAATGGACAGACAGTAGGGAAAAGGGTGGCCACTGGGAGGCCGGGAGGAGTCATGGCAGTTGTCCAGGTGATAGATGGCGCGGGCTTGGGCCAGGGAGGAAGCCTCGAAGTGGTGAGAGGTGGCCAGGTCCTGGGGCTCTCTGGAAGGGCGCATCAGCGGATTGAAGGTGAGACGGGAGAGGGAGGCGTCCAGGTGAGCCCAGGAGGATGAGAATGATGTCACCGAGAGAGTGAGGGGCAGAGAGCAGGGAGAGGAAGACCGAGGCCGAGGCTGCCTAGAGGTCAGGAGGCCAAGGAGGAGGCAGAGGGGCTTGGCCGTGCAGCGGGGGACCTGAGCAATTGGTGTCCTGGGCACCAGGTGAAGAAGGAACTTCAAGGAGGGCATAGAGGTGCCAGTCAGGTACGTCGGCAGCTGAGAATTGTCCTTCAGCTTTTGCAGCAAGGAGGTCACTAGTGACGGTGACAGGAGTGGCTTGGGTGGGGCGGCGCCAGAGGGGCTGCTTTACGAGAGGAATGGGGATGCTGGCGCGTTCGTTTCCTGGGCCTGCTGCAACAAATCGCCACAAATGGGGTGGCTTAAAACACTAGGCGTTGTGTTCTCTGCAGTCCAGGAGGGCACATTCCAAAATCAAGGTGTCAGCAGGGTCCAATCCCGCCTCTGCCCGGGCTGCTGGGGCTGCCGGCAACCCTTGGCCTGGAGAGGCCTCCACAGTCTCTGCTGCTGTCTGCACGTGGCGTCTCCTGCGTGGGTCTCTCTGTGCCCTCCCCTCTGCCTAGAGGGACACCAGCCATTGGATTTATGGCCCACCCTAGTCCAGTGTGACCTCATCGGAGCTAAGCACACCTGCAAAGACTCTATTTTTATTTTTTTTATTTTATTTATTTTTGAGGCAGAGTCTTGCTCTGTTGCCTGGGCTAAAGTGCCGTGGCATCAGCCTAGCTCACAGCAACCTCAAACTCCCGGGCTCAAGCGATCCTCCTGCCTCAGCCTCCCGAGTAGCTGGGACTACAGGCATGCGCCACCATGCCCGGCTAATTTTTTTATATATATATACATTTTTTAGTTGTCCAGATCATTTCTTTATATTTTTTTTTGTAAAGATGGGGGTCTCACTCTTAGTCAGGCTGGTCTCAAACTCCTGACCTTGAGTGATCCACCCACCTCGGCCTCCCAGAGTGCTAGGATTACAGGCGTGAGCCACCGTGCCTGGCCAAGACTCTATTTTTAAATAAGGCAGCCCTCTGAGGCGGAGGGTGAACAAGAATGAGGGGCATACTCAACCCACTACAGATGTGCAGACAGCCAGTGTAGACCATGCTCACGAGGCCATCCTCTCCCCACACTACCACTTTCGGGAAGGAACACACAAGCCCGGCGCTCCCTCCCTCACGTCACCCCTGCAGACGATGGGGTGCCCATTGGGTGAGGTCAAAGGCCACCTTCTAGGGTCCACGCAGGGAGGAGGTCATGGCAGGTGGAAGCTCTGGCCAAGTCTGGTTGGACCCGTCTTCTTGGTGTCAGGCCTGTGTCAGGGCTTTGCTGTCACCATCAGGGAAGTGGTTCTGCTTCCTGGGACGTCTGGAAAGTCGTCGTGCCCCCCACCCCACACCAGGGCCTACCTCAGCAGGGAACAGCTGTTTGTAGAGAGGGTCAGCCCGAGTCGCCCGGCATGTGCGTCCTTCCTGGGATCTCCAGAGATCCCGCGCCACCCCTGCACCTGCTATCCTGCGTATCAGAGTCCCTGCTACCCTGCTGGGGCCAAGCACAGGCAGTGAGTGCTCGGTGTATCCCTGTGTGACCTCCTCGCCGTCCAGCCAGCTCTAACCACAGCCCGTTTGCTCTTGTTCCTCCTCGAGGCCCTAGTGCTGGGGCTGCAACCAGGGGTGCTGCTGTCACCTTGCTCTCTTTCCTGGGGACAGGGGTGGAGATAGCTGTTGCTGAGTGGGGAGACAGGGCCGTATGTGCCCCCTGCCCATCACCCTCCTTGGAGATGCAGAAGGAAAAGGCCATTTGTAAGTGGCAGGCTGGCTGTCACTCTAGGGGGACCTCTGACCTCTGACCTCCTCCCACCCCCCCCCCATGCTTATAAAGGCATTTCCCCGCTAAGGAAGCATCTGCTCTGCTGCATTTGAAACTCTTTCTTCCACACTCCCAAATGAGCTGTCTATGGTTTGTTGGGGTTGAGTGTTCAGGGAGGGCTCATCTCAGTCCCTCAGGAGACGCATTTAGTGGCCTCCTCTCAAGGGCCTCACCCGATAGTAGCGCCTTCCTGCACCCCATTCCTGCTGGGCTCTTGGGGGAGCCCCTCGTCGGGGAGACTGATCACCCCCCCCGCCAGGGGCTTCCTTCTGCAGTGAGAGGCCATATAGGGGAGGGGTTGTTCTAGATCTTTTCCCCTAGAAAGGTTAGTCCTATGAGGACAGCAGGTTCTCAGAGTGCAGGGGACAGGGGATGACAGGTGCCTGCATCACCTGGAGGCATCTCAGGCATCCTTCCCTGGCCGAAGCCAAGGGGTTGATGTTTGGTTTGTCTCTTTTGTTTTTGTGAGAACTGCTTAGTGTAAAGGGAGAATGTACACACGTCCCTCGATGGCCACCCCTGCCCACAACGTCCTAGAACCCATTTCATGGAGCATTTTGGCTGCAAGCTGCTCGCAGGAGTAAGCGCAGGCGATCGGCATGCACATGGCTGCATCCGGGCATTTCCTGACATGGGCAGCTCTCTCTGGCCCCGCAGACCCGCGGCTCCTTCACTTGGCCTTTGAAGCAGGCACAGCGCCACGCCATCGATGCTCTAGTTGGGTCGAAATCTCTCCCAGAACCGCGAGAGTCATGGGCTGGGGCTCTGGGGCGGTGCGTGTTCAGTTAGGCCACCCGGGAGCTGTCTCTCGTAGACACGGGGCAGTCGGCACACGGGCTCTCCCGTTCCTCAGCCTGCTGCTCCCGGAAGTAGCGCCTGGTTCCCGTCCTGACTTCTTTGCTGCACGTTCAGCGCCACCCCCTCTCATTCACATAAATTATTTAAATGAATGAGGCCTGAGATTCGCAGGGACAGGTGTGGTGGCCTGAGGCCTCAGGCAACAGGACTGGTGCCCACTAGCTTGGTGGCATTTCAGTGGGTGCCTGGCATTGTGGACGGAACTGGACGCATAGACCGCAGCCCCCAGTCACAAGTATTGCGGTGAGGGAGACCTGCTCGGGTCCTAGTAGTGACCAGGAAAATTGATGGGAGGGACATTTTTCCATGGCCTGGTGCCCACGTCTGTTTCTGTGGCCGGCGCGTTGCCTCTGAAAAGCAATCAGAGTGCGTCCCTGGGCACCACCACCTCCCTCCTGCAGGTCGGGGGCGAGACCTGTTTGTGTTCAGGCCCAGAGAATAGACCCATCCGCAGGCTGCCGGGGCGACTCTGTTGATGTTTTCAGCTTATAACACATCACTGCAGCCATCAGCTGCCACTTCTGCAGCCGGTCTTGGAAGGTGCGTGACCAGGCGTAGAAACTCCTCACCCAACGGCTGCTTTCAGCGGGGAGTGGGATGAGGTCGCTGTCAGGCCTCAGCCCTTTGGAGTCCTTGGCCCTCAGACCTCAGACCCCCCAATCTTACCGCCCTGAGCCAATTTCCCCACGTGCAGGTTGGGGCCACAGTCTCTACCAGGAGCACAATAGGTGCTGCAGAGACCACCCTGCTACGGGGCCGTGGTGTCAGCCACCTAAAGCGAGGGGCTGGATGGAGCTGGGGCTTGTTCAGGCTTCTGCTGGTTAGAGACAAGTTGTGAGGACATTCAGGACAGGCCTGGAACCCAGTAAGCCGAGAGGGCGGGAATGGGAACTCCCTCTCAGCCCCACTGCCGCAGCCTGGCTCTTGGGCCACACTCAATGGCTCTTGGTGCTTTCTCAAGTGCCATGCAGCCACCGGGGGAGTCCCCACCATCCCCCAGAGGGGCCGAGCCACATCCTCCAGGGAGGGACTTGGGGCAGCCCGGGCTCTCTGGCCCTGAAGAGCGCAGATGCAAGAGCGCTCCTGCGCAAAGACGCGGAAGCACAGCGCAGTGTCCCCACCCCATCGGGCAGAGGGCCACTTCTCCACAGCAAGTCACTTCTGGCCTTCAGGATCTTAGCTGGACGGAACCATGGGGAAAATCTGGTTCAGATGCCTCATCTTACAGATGGGGAAACTGAGGCTCAGGCAGAGGGAGTGCTCTGCTCTGGGCTGTGCAGGGCGGAAGTGAGGAGCCAGGCCTGGCGTCACCAGGGTGGGACCAGCCCTACCCGTCCCCCAGGGGTCTGTGGGATCCTTGACCCTAAAGGACCCAGGGTCATTTAGTTCTTCCTCCTGCCTCCAGGCAGGGTTCCCCTCAATCATCGTGAGTTTGGAAGCTTTCCACGAAATCCTTCACCCTTTTAGCTCCTCCACACCTGTGGCTGTGTCTGCCCTCGGGAGATGATGGCATTTGTCCTTTTTTTTTTTTTTTTTTT